CAGTGCCACTCCAGTGAAGGGCTGGGTGGTCCTGGGGGTCCAGCTGCCCCCTGACAGGGAACAGCCCGTGTGGATGAGCACTGTGCCGAGCCCTGGGGAACAGCCGTGGTGATGGTGACAGTTGTGGTGGTGCCAGGGGCGACAGTGTCCCCCAGCCTGGTTTCAGTGCCCACTGGGCACTGTGCTACAATAACGGCTCTAATAGAGAAGCCACGAGGCATCCGGCAAACACCCCAACACCCACCTCACCCGGGAATCCTGGTACCCCCAGAACACCAGCACCAGGTCCTGTGCCAGGGCCACCACCAGCTCCACCAGCCCCTGGCCTACAGATGGTGGCAAGCACCATCCTGTGACCCCCAGCACAGTCCCTGGCAGAGCGGGTGCCAGGTCCCACTGGGCTCTGAGCCTCAGGGATGGCACATGCCAGCAGCACTGGCAGGTATCACCACCCCCAACAGGTTCTGCACCCACCATCACCATGTCACTGCGTGTGGCAGAGCCCAAGGCCAGCTGACACTTCCCAGATGCCACAGCTCAGCCCTAACCTCATTGTCCCCTCCAGGCCAACTGCTGTCCAGCCGTGATGGCACACCCACCCACCCCATGGGTCATGGTTCCAAACACGCCAACACCTGGCAAGGGGTGACCAACCACACAATGACATCAACCCTTGCTCCAGGACCCACGGCATCACACCCACCAGCACCCAGCGAGGTGGGACCAAACCCACCGGCAGGCAGTGAGGGGTGACTGCATGGTGACACTAAACCCACCACGTGTCCCACAGCACCAAACCCGCCAGCAGCCAGCAAGGTGGGATCACATGGTGATCCCAAACCTGCCAGCACCTGGCAAGGTGCAACTACCCAGTGACACCAAACATCTGCCCGGGGGCCCGTGACACCAAACCCTCTGGCACACAGTGAAGTGGGACCACATGGGGACACTGAACCTTCCAGCACCTGGTGAGGTGGGATCACGTTGACACCAAACTCTCACTCCAGAACCCATGTCACCGAACCCACCAGCACCCAGCAAGGTGGGACCGTATGGTGACACCGAACCCCTGCCATTTGCCCAGGACCACCAGCCAAGCCACACTGACCAGTCCCATGGTGCCCTGGCACCGCTGAGGGATATCAGCTCCTGAACTCTGTGCCATCCCTGCCGGCGGCACTCAGACCATGGTGGGACCCGCCAGGGCCAGACGTGCTGAGCTCCTCCCAACAGCACCGGGGGCACTGGGGTCCCTCCCAGGGGACACCTGAGCCGTAGCACAGTTGGTGTTGGCACCAAATGGGCTGCAGGCTGAGGGCACGCACTCCCACCACCCCAGAACTGGTGTCCTGCCCTGGCGGGA